AGCCAACAGCCAATATCAATTGCCAGCTAAGTGAATGGGCCATCTTGGACCTCCAAAACTCAGTCAAACCCTAGAAAACTGCAGCCCTGGCTGACATTAGACCTCAATCACATGGAAGGCCCTGGGTGAAAACTGCCTGGTGTGTCCAAGTCGACCCACAGAGCAACCTCATGGAAAACTCTAAGAGAGAACCTCCCAGAAAGCCGAAGTCATAGAACTGTGAGAATTAATAATAAATTCCTGTTTTAAGCCACTAAATTTCGGGGAGGTTGTTATAGCAGCAATAACTAAAACATTACCCATCATAACAACCAAACTGACTTAGAATATATTTCTAAGAATATAAAACCATTAGAGAATATTTCACACTGAAGAACTGGGAGTACAGGCAGCATCAACACCCAGATGCAGAGACAGGCGGGGTAAATCTGCTTGGCCACACTTGCTTGCTTCTCTCTACATGGCAAGAAAAAAGCTATGCTCTATCTATGCCTTTCAGAGTGTTGCTAAAGCTAGTTTCTAAAACCTATGCAAGTACCAAGAATGCAAACAACGAAAATAAAGTTGAACACTTAAAAGAGCAACGCTATTAATATGCACAGCCACCCAACAGTGGCTTACTTTATGTGAGATTGGGGAGAACAATGCACTGTCAGAGTTTATGAGGTCACAGGAAAAGGGATCATTAATCACATGACCTGTCTAGGCTTCTGGATGAGAGTTCAAAGGTGCTAACTAAGCCCTCTTTCAAAGCCACATCATTTCCAGCGTGCTTTAAAAATCACACGCTTGGTCTGTACAGCAAATGTCAAAAATGCCAGCTTGGCTGGGATTTATTTTGTGTGGGATACCATTTTAAAAATCAACTAAGTGTTTCTTTTTTATTGTCTTTCTTCAATACTGAGTATGCAAAAGAATACTTATAAAACATGTACAGTATAAGGAATGATATTACAAATGCCCACACAACCACCTAATCCAACAGAAAGACATTATCATTATGCTGGAATCTTCTGTGTGACCCTCCATGATCCAATCCCTTTCCTTCCCCACTCAGAGGCCATTATCATCCTGAATTTTATGTTTGCCATTTTCTTACTTTTTCCAAAAGTCATTTTACCACAATAGGGTTAGAGTATGGTATCAGTAGCACTGAGGTCAAGGTTCAGATCCTCATACTGGCCAGCCACCCCCAAACAAAAATCATTTTACTACATTTATATTCTTAAAAGCACATTGTTTAGGTTTGCACATCTAAGAACTCAATATAAATGGAACTGTACTGTTGATACTCTTCTATAACTTGCTTTTTCCACTTAATACTACATTTCTGAGATCCAAGATCCACCCATGTGGTTGTACGCAGCTGTGATCCATTCGTTTTCATTGCTGTATAGTTCAGTTGGATTTTCAGAACTGATTTACACTCTACTTGAGTTCCCACATTTCTCAGACCTGGTTCACACCCTGTGTGGTTCAGCTACTAATTTTCACCCAGAGAGAAACTTTCCTTCTGAATATTTTCAAATCAAGAAACATTTGCTTCTCCTTAGACCTCTCAACTCGGTAATACTGATTTAGAGGTCCCGGAGCAACTTGTATCCCTAGGGTATCTCTCTTAAAGAGATGATTCTGGTAGTTTTGACAGTACACAAGGAAGCCAGCTGTGTTAGAGTTGACTATTTTTCCTGCCTGCATCAGAGATGACATGTATAGTGCCCTGAAAATATATGCAATTCCATTAACATTCCATTAATTTCTCTCTGAAGTAGCAGGAACATTCTGCAACACAGAACAGAAGCCAGCATCCTTTACTTTAAAAATTGACCAAGTGGGCCGGCCCGGTGGTGCACTGCGCTAGTGCGCCGCTTGGGAAGCGTGGCGGCGCTCCCGCCCGAGGGTTCGGATCCCACATACAGACCGGTTCCCGCTCACTGGCTGAGCGAGGCGCGGGGGCAACACCGAGGGTTGTGATCCCGTTGCCGGTCCCGGTCCGGTACGGGGGCGACACTGAGGGTTGCGAACCGTTGCCGGACACGGAAAAAGACAAAAAAAAAAAATTGCCCAAGTGAAATAGCCCAGAAAAGAGAACATTTAAGGAACTGATCAGTGAGAGAATCTGCTGATGAATGGCCAAGAAAGAAAGAGGAGGCAAAGGGCCAGAGTCCTTGGGCAGGCTTGGTCTCAGCATTTCCTATACCTGCCAGTCGACCCTGCTCCTGGCCCTCCAGTTTCTCCTTCTCTTCTTACTTTCATCTCATAGACACTGCTACGGCCTGAATGTGTGTGTCCCCTCAAAATTCATATGTTGAAACGCAAACCCACAAGGTGACGGTATTAGGAGGCAGGCCTTTTGGGAGGTGATTAAATCAGGAGGGCAGAGCCCATGTTAATGGAATTAGTGCCCTTATAAAAGAGACACCAGAGGGCCGAGCCCGTGGCGCTCTTGGGAGAGTGCGGCGCTGGGAGCGCAGCAGCGCTCCCGCCGCAGGTTTGGATCCTATATAGGGATGGCTGGTGAGCTCACTGGCTGAGCGCAGTGCAGCCAGTCTCAAAAAGAAAAAAAAAAAAAAAAAAAAAAAAAAAAAAAGAGAGAGACACCAGAGAGCTCCCTCTCCCCTTGTACCATGTGAGGACACAGCTAGAAGTCAGCCATCTATGAACCAGAAAACAGGCTTTGACCACACATCAAATCTGCAAGCGCCTTGATCTTGGACTTCCCAGCCACCAGCACTGTGAGAAGTAAATTTCTATTTTTTATGGGCCACCCAGGATATGGTCTTTTCTTGAAGCAGCCCAGATGGACTAAGTCAGACACATACTGAACACCTACTGTGCAACAATAAATCAAGACAGTCCCCACCCTTATGGCAGTCTAGCAGGAGACTGCTGAGTGAATGTAACTTATCTAGCTACTCCCCTCTACCACTCTGCTATCTGACCCAGTTTAATTTTTCTTCACAGCACTTATCACCACCTGATATTATACTTGTTCACTGTAATGTGAGCCCCATGAGAACAGGGACTTTCACCATATTCATCACTGCATCCTCAGCCATCAGAAGAGCGCTGGACACAAAGTAGGCACTCTATAGGTATTTGTTGAGTGAATGAACGATAGAAGCATGCACATGATGCTATGTGAGGACAGAGAAGGAGGTGAATTCAGTTTTGCTTGGCTCTGGAGAGGGTGCTGGCTGAGCTGAGTCCTGAAGGGTAAGCAGATGGGCAGTCCTCTAAACTGGGACCTGTACTGTTCTCAACTGTGTACATGACTCCCTCCCACCTCACTTGAGGTTCCTTGATATAGAGACTATTCTATTCATTTTGGGATTCTCTATGGCATTTGGTATAATGACTTGCATTTGTTCATTCCACAAATATTTTATTCTAGATAGAGTGGAAATTAAATTTTTTTCTCTAAATTTAACTGCATAAAAAAAGTCTGGGATTGATTCAAGTGTTTTGGTCAGGGAGAGCTTTTATAAAACTCAGGTGATGTGTCCTTTAAAATATAAGATAGTTCTAGAAATACAATCTTCTTCAAGATTTTCAGCCTCAAAGAAATATCACAGATCCAATTGTGGACTTGCTTCTAAGAATCTAATCTTCATCTCTATAAAGGCAATAACCTGTGTTCATCTCAGTGAAATTTGTAATAATAATGATAAAACTTTCAAGCTACTATCCAGACAAGGACCATGGGTTGATATCCAGGAAAAGAGAGGTTGGAACCTGGAAAAGTCCCAGTATGAACTAGGCTTTTCTCTCTGTTAATGTAAATGTCCCAAATAAACATCAGAGTAGTGACACATGAATGGAAGCTGAAAAGACTCAGAAGTATGAAAAAGAGATTGCAGAGCCCACATAATAAATTTAAAGAGATTGCAAAAGAGCAATACCATAACCAAAGACAGGAAATACTAGAACAGAAAGGATGCATGAATTTAAAAAAAAATTTTTTTTTTACATCATGCTATTAATTCAGTAATGTGCTATATAAGGATTTTCCTTATGGGAGACAGACACATCAATAGCAGGTATTAGTAATCTATGAAAACCATAGTGATCTCTGAAAAAAATAATAATAGTTAAAGTCTCTGCTAGAAAGCAACACATAAGAAATAAGAGGTGACGTCACCTTAAAATATTTTTAACAAATTCCAAGGGCTGGCCAGTTAGCTCAGTTGGTTAGAGCACAGCCTTATAACACCAAGGTCAAGGGTTCGGTTCCCTGTACTGGCCAGCTGTCAAGAAAACAAAACAAACAAACAAAAAAACCACACACAAATTCCAAGTGTTCATTAAATTTGTTTTGTCCTCTGCTCTCTGAACAAAACTGATACACTAAACAAGGTTATAGGATTCTCTCTATATAAAAACTTCCCTATTTTCTTAAATTAAAACATAGTTCTCCTTCTCTCTCAGTACTTCTGAAGATGCTTCCATTGTACTGCTGGATTGAGTTATTTACTGAGTCACACTTGTCAGTTACCATCTGTAAAATATTTTAATAACCTAAGACAATGGTCACACTGTTACTGTAAATTTGTTTTTCAGTTACATGGTTTCATTGGTGAGTTTGCCCAATTCCTAACCAAAAAAAAAAGAAAAAATACTGGTAATCGTGGCTGACAATTTATTACTGTCTCTGTAAAGAGACAGACAATGTGCTGTGGGGGGGGCGGGGTGTGTCAGGGAGTATGAGCAGGTGCCCAAGCACAATGAAATCACTCCAATCCAGATGCAATCAAAGGAGAAAGAATGTCAGAAAAGCAGAATAGAATTCACAGACCAAAAGAAAAAATGCTGAATGCATCACCTTGGGAAATAAGAAGAGTCCCATATTTACCAGGCAACAAACCTCTCAATGGCCCACAATTTACCCAGAAGATACAGAGTCAAGGCAGATAAGTCAAAGGCCACAACACTGAATGGCTCAAAGCCCCACCAAACTGACTTAATTGTCAGACTGTCTGGCAAAGGGTAAAGACGCTTACTTGGATATCACAGGAGAAGACGACCTCTTAGAAAAACTTCCAGGAAACTCGCATTTTCTCAGAGGAGACCCGAAGCCCCCAGTGGGAATGGAAGTTGTCATTCGTTGTCCCCTCTTCACTTTCTCCATCTGTAGGGGAACACAGAACAGGATAGCCACAGCCCATAACTGGCACTATTTCCTCAGTTTCTGAAAATAACCCAGATGGAAGCAATGCCCAGCTTCTTTTTTTGAGAGGAATCAATACAAAGCTAGAGTGCTTCACGTGATGGGAATCTTTGCAGGGAGACACCATGAGGTCATCAAATTTAGGTCATCCAGTCAAGAAAACAATTTTTAGCCTCAAAATGCAAAGATTTCCTTCTCCTTGCTATTTTGCAAAGAGTTAACAACAGAACCATATTATGGTCCTGGACATATAGGAACCAGAAAGAGTACAAAGATATATAATCACTACAAAAAAATTACAGGTGGGTGAAATGTGGCTCTAACATCCAAGATAGTGAGCTGTGGACATACACGGTATACGGGGACTACAACTCCACCCATTCCTCTACATCTTCCCCCTCACCTCCCTCGGCAGAAGGTAGAAGGGAATAGACAACAGTGCCCAGCCCGCAGATGGTGCTCCATGAGGATTAGTTTCCTTCTCTCCCTATCAAACTTCTCTGCAGCAAATCCTCACTTGATCCCCGCACCCATATACATCAGGCTCCTTCCACAGTAATGCACCCATATACATCAGGCTCCTTCCACAGTAATCCACCCTATTATAAAATCCAAGAGTCTGAGACATTCACTTTTTGAGAATCTCAGGGCCACAATGGATTTGAAAAGAAAATACGATATGGTAAAATGCCCAGCAGTACAGTAACGTGGTGGTTTTAAAATAAATCCACAAATTATTTGATACTCCTCCATTCAACAGGTGGGAACTCAATTCCTCTCCCCTTGAATGTGGGTTGACTTTAGTGACTTGCTTTTAATGAACAGCATATGGCAGAAGTGACAGGTTGGGCACAAAAGACAACATAGCTTCCCCCTTGCACACTCATTCTTGGATTGCTTGCTCTGAGGGAAGCCAGCTGCCATGTCATTTGAACACTCAAGCAGCTTTATGAAGAGGCCTCCTGCCAAGAGCCACGTGAGTGAGCCATATCAGAAGAAGCCCAGTCAAACTTTCAGGTGATACAGCCCTGGCCAGCATCTTGACCACACCCTCATTAAAGACCCTGTACCACAACGACCCAGCTAAGCCACTCTCAGTTTCTGACCCAAAGAACCTGTGAAATAATAAAATATTTGTTGTTTTAAGCTGCCAAGGTTTGAGGTAATTTATTATGTAGCAACTGATAACAAAAGTAGTGCACCATATATAATTTCTAAATATATATAATAGGGGATACCTGCTCAACATTTATTTTACTGATGGTGTCAGCATGCCATCAAAAATGTTTAAAGGCTATTGTTGTGGTTGAAGGTTGACCAAGAACCTCAGTTCTAGTTACCCGTAGAGGTAAGACTGGCCCCAAATCAGATATCCTTAAAAAAGCAGAAAGAGGACCCTTGGAACATTCCTTCTGACTCCTGTCCTTCGAAGGGAAGGCTATAATGAGGCCATCATTAGGAATTTGCTCCAAGGCACTAAGATTTAGGAGAGTGCAAAAAGTTAAATGACTTTCAAAGGTTGGGTAAAATTTTAAACCAAATCGACCCTTTGAGCAGTACCTGGAGACCAATGGAAATGGAGACCACAGGTCAAACGCAGGAAGTGACCATATTGTCAGATATACCACAGTCTGGAGGGGTGAATGAATGGGTTTAAACCTACCAGAGGGGCCTCTGCTCCTGCAGGGGCTCCTTTCCCAGCATCTCCTACGCCAGATGTAGATGCAGTCTTCTTCCTCTCGGTGTTTCGAGTGGGAGAAGACTTGTAAGAAGATTTAAGAGAGCCAGCAGCAGCTGCACGAGGACAGGTAGGGAATACTAGAGAGTTACAGTATAACAGCAAGCAAAACAGAGAGTACAGATGGAAAAAGTAGAGAGAGTGGGAAGTTGAGAAGAACACATTACTGTTAAAATGTGACCTGGGCAATCAGCATTCTCAAAATACTGTATTTTTTCTATTGTACACAAAATGATCCTACCCTAAAAAGGTTCAAATACTCAAGAGTCAAGTTCATTTCAGGGGTTAAAAGTCTGTGCTTTGGAGCTAAACAGATCTAGCAGTGCCACCTAATAGCTGAATCATCTTGGGCAGGTTATTTAACTTCTCTAAACCTCAATTTCCTTGTGCAGGACTGTTAACATAGTAGATCTGACTGCTGTCCTTTGAAAGGCCTGCTTACAAGGCTGGCCCTTGGCCAGCATCTGGGAGCTCAGATTTCAGGAGGGTTCCTATCATTAACTGGTGAGTACTGGAACTGTAAAAATGATATGGTGTATGCTGAGCACCTGCTTTCCTCCTGGGAGTTTGGAATTTGGGTATGTGCCTGGCAGGGGTGCCTACACGACCAGCCCCAGTGAAAACCCTGGGCACGGAGGCTCGAGTGAGCTTCTCAGGCTGGCAACATTACATACATGTTGTCACAACTCGTTGCTGGGGGAATTAAGTACGTCCTGCATAACTCCAGTGGGAGAGGATCCTTGCAAACTTGTGCCTGGTTTCCTCTGGACTTGGCCCCACGTGCCTCTTCCCTTTTGCTGATTTTGCTGCATATCCTTTCACTGTAATAAATCAGCCATGAGTTCAACTATATGCTGAGTCCTCTGCGTTCTCCCAGCAAACCATCAAACCTGGGGGTGGTCTTGGGGACCCCTGACACAACTGGTGTCAGGAGTAGGAGTTGCTATAATGACCCCGATTCACCAAAATATGGCAAAAGTACCATTCGGGGAAAAAAAAGGACAAAGGGGTAGAGGACAATGAACCTGTGGTGCCTGGGTGGCTATGGAGTCATCATGATATGAATCAGCAGCTGAGCCGCTGTCTCTTAGGAGAGGTAAAGCTTACCTATGGAATTTGAAGATGCCTGATGCAGCTCCAAGAGAGTTGCCTTCATGGATTCTCCTAGTGGCTTTTGACCATGGTGGATAAAGTGAGGGAAAAAGTGCAGCCCAGGTGATGCCCTTGGTTTTGTTTTCTTCTCTAAGTGAAAGTGGGACACAATTTCCTTGATTTTTTGCCACCAGTGGGGGGGTGGGGGGGTGGAATTTAAACTCTGAATATTGGAACCAGAGCAAGTTTCCATAACTGACAATTTTACTATGACTTTTGCCTAATGAACCTCTGGAAATAGGGAGGTGGTGCAAAAAGAAGGGCAATTTCCAGATGGAGATACTTTTGGAGTTTTAAAAATTGATGAGGTCCAGACAAACTGGATACATTAAAAAAAAAAAACTGACTAGGGACCGTCATAGATATAGAACACCCCTCTGTGGGGCCCTAAACTGTAAAAACATACAAATGCCCACAGGACAGGGCTTATTCTCTGATGGGACCATCTGAAATCAAGCTGCTCATTGGTTCTGTATTTCTGATGCAGAGTTTGACTGCATTCCTAATGTGTGATTCCTGAAAAAGCTGCAAGGTAGAAATGGGACATCACAACATCTGCTGACAGATCAGACTCCACCCCTTCTGGGGAATGTGTCACTGCTGTTGACATCTTGTGTTTGACTTTCTGGAGTAGCTGCAGTTCGTAACAATGAGCTGAGAACCTGACTCTACTTCCCTCACCTTTCCCCCAGTACACACACCTTAGTAAGGCAATCTGTTAAATGCAGCTGTTGTCAGAAAGGAACTGATCTTTTCTATGCTGCTCACTGGATAAATGACCAGGATAAAACAGATGGGAGGTGACAGAAACCTAGTTTGAAATTTTATGAAAATTTAGAATTTTGTCCCAACTAATACCTGAACATGATGTGTCTTTCTGGTTAAGCTGGATAAAAATTTATTTTTATTTATTTTTTTTGTAAAAATGTTTTTGTCCTTTCTTTGAAAGGTCTGGATGAGAGCAGGGATGATTAGGAAAATGTAAACTTTTGATTACTGCATGGGACACACAGAAAAACAACAGAACCCAGCACCTGGGGTTGTACAGGGGAGGACATTCGTGATCTGTTTTCCAGAACTGCTCCTGGAAGCTCACCCCTTCCTAAAGGGAAACTCCCCATGCTGCCTTTGCAAGCTGCTGTCAGCACTCTGGATTACGAACGGACTGCTGGGCCTAGATGGCATGAGACAGCATGACTATGAGACGGCAGGAGTGCACTAGCTCCTGCATAGTCCCTGCAGAACACCTCCAGATGTCATCCACGACTGCCAGATGGATGAACTAGTGTCACTGACAGAACTGTTTGGGGACTGATGGCTTCAGGCAGCCCCTCGGAAACCACATACTGAACTGAGTGACCAGCACTGGATGGAGCACCCTGGGATGGAGGCACCACCGTGAGGCCATGCTGAAGCTGCATGGCCCTGCTCAGGGTACTCTGACATCGTCAACTCTGTTTCCAGGGGACCACGTGTGCCCTCGGGGATTGCACTTATATGTGTGCACCCTATCATGACACTGCCTCAGCCCTGGAAGGCATGCAGGTTAGCTTCAACTTACTGGCCAGAGCTGTGTTGGGCCTGAGTTGATGGCTTGGGCCAGGTAAAAAAGATTCATACAAGAACTGATGGAGGAAGCCATCTGGCTGCCTAGGATAGACCTTTATGATAAATGGGATTTGCTTTAACTGTGAAGTCCAGGACAGCTTAGTTGCACTCTGCTGGGTAGGGTCCTACTGATAATTCTTAAGACAACTTGGCCAAGGGCCAGAGAGTTGGGCTGTGCAGAAAAGAGTTATTAGCACAGCTGGCCTGACCGCTCTCCTTGGAAAGGCCTGCTTATAAGGTTGGCCCTTGGCTGGCATCTGGGAACTTAGATTTTGGGAGGGTTCCCATTGTTAACTGATGAGTGACTCCCCATACCTGAACTGTTTGTGCAAACAATACGGTGTATGCTGAGCACCTGACTTCTTTCTGGGAGTCTGGAATTTGGTTACATTCTGGGTGAGAGGTACATGTGACCAGCCCCCAGGAAAAATCTCGGGCATTAGGTCTCTAACAAGCTTCCCTGGTTAGCAACATATCATACATGTCACAACTCATTGCTCGGGGAACTGGGTCCTGACTGACTCCACTGGAGAGGACTCTGGAAGCTTGTGCCTGGTCTTCCCTGGACACCTTTCCCCTTTGCTGATTTTGCTCTGTATCCTTTCACTGTAAGAAATTATAGCTGAGTCTTATGAGATTTCCTAGCAAATCATTAATCCTGGAAGTGGTCTTGGGGACCCCTGACACATTCAGAGGATATTTCCTAACTGCTAGGGTTATTTTTTTGTTTGAGATTTAATTAACATACCATAAAATTCTCCCTTTAGAAAGTGCATTCACAAGGTTGTGCAATAATAAGCACAGTCTGATTCCAGAACATTTTCAAGACCCCCAAAAGAAACCCTTTATCCATTCAGCAGTCACTTCCCTTTCCTCCCTCCCCCAGTCCTTGACAACCACTATCTATTTTCTGTCTCTATGGATTTGCCTATTTCAGACATTTCATATAAATGGAATCATACAAGTTGTGGCCTTTTGTGACTGATTTCCTTCACTTTGCATAATGTTTTCAAGGTTCATCCATCCTGTAGCATGTATCAGTACTTCATTCCTTTTTATAGCTGGGTAATATTCTACTTTCTGGATATACCACATTTTGTTTATCCATTCATCAGTCGATGGACATTTGAGTTGATTCTACTTTGTGACTACTGTGAATGATGTTGTTAAGAACATTTGTGTACAAGTTTTCGCGTGAACACACTTTTAATTTCCCTGGCTTTATACCTAGGAGACTGCTGAGTCCATGGTAACTCTGTGCCTAACTTTTTGAGGAACTGTCACAGCAGCTGCACCACTTTACATTCCCATCAGCAACGTACGAGGGTGAGTATCTCCACACCTTCACCAACACTTATTTTTCCTTTTAAAAAAATTTTAGCTACCGTAGTGGGTATGAAATGGTATTGCATTGTGGTTTTGATTTGCATTTCCCTAATGACGAATGATGTTGAGCATCCTGTCATGTGCTTATTGGCTATTTGTATATCTTCTTTGTAAAACAGTGTAACTATTGGGAAGCAGGTACAACCAGGCAGAGGTTTTATGTCATCTCACTGAATACACTATCTAGGGAATGGAGACCAGCCCTGACCCCACGTGGATGCAGGACTGCTCATCTGCAACCAAAGAGAATGCCAGCCCTCACTAATCTTGACATGATGATTTGATCCGCTTTGGTAAAGGAAAGGCTTGATGGTCTGGTCCAGTGTTTCTCAGACTTTAATGTGCAGGTCAGGTGGGGCCTTCCTACCAAGCTCTCAGGTGATGCCACCGTTGCTGGTCCATGGACCACCTTCTGAGTAGTCAGGCTCTAGAGGGTTGTTCAGCTCTTACTCTGTGCCAATCATTGTGCTATCTCATATACATGCATTATCTCATTTAATCCTCATGACAATTTAAAATAACTCCATCTTACAGATAAGCAAACTGAGGCTTAGAGAAGTTAATTAACTTACCCAAAATGGTAAGAGCCAGTGAGGGGGAGAGCTGGTTATAGAACTCCCTAGACTGTGGTCTGCAGGCTACTTTGCCAAACCATCTCTTAAGAAAAGTCTACTAACCTCCACAGCTCATCAAGTGGATTTTTTCCCTAATGTACATGCCCTCGGTCATAAAATAATTTACTCACCTCTGTGACACATAAAAGAAACACAGCAATAGCAAAACATTGGTGGGTAGAAATGTTATTAACCATTGAAGACATTTCACAAAGCCAGCAAATGGGAAGCAAAATGCAAAATTCAGGAAGAAATCATAGGCTGACCAACACCACTTCGGTCATTTTCCTCAGTGTCACCAGCTTGGCCTCTTTTACCTGAGTCACCGGCCTGCTCAGAGAGCATGACTGCACTTCTGCTTCTGGCTAAAGAAGCCTGTGTGGGTGTCAACAGTCGCATAACAAGAAAGGTTTCCATGGTACTAAGGTGCATGCGAAGAGCTGAGGGATGGAATCAAATAAAAATTTTAAAAAGCAAAATTAAAAGAAACAAAATAAAATGTTTAAATGATACAGTGCATGATGTAAACTAACTTTTGGGTGGCAGAAGAAATGCGGAAAATAAAAATATTCTAACAAAGGATGGCTATGGAATTCGTCATAGTAAAATAAAACAAATGATGTATCATTTAGAGTTTGGGAGAGTGTAGTAATTCTCTTGGGGTGCCAGAATGCATTCAATATGCTATTACAGTACAGTGACCTATATTACTCAAAGAGAATTAGCCTGCCTCCCAAGATGTAATATGGACTCAAGAAACCATTTACTCACCAAGGAGATGTAACATTGAAAAAAATAAAAGAGAGATTATACCTATAAAACACTTGTTTTAGGTCCTCTCTTAAGAAGTATTTCATAACACACTGATTTTTATATGAAATATTTCATCCTGTAATAATATAAAAATACATCCTTGCATACTTTTTTCATGTGAAGAAGCACAAAAATTAAATAAGTACAAAAGTAGTAACAGTCAACTGATTATCAGCTTTAATGGAAGACAAGTAGTATTCATAATCTAAAATTCAATGACCAAAATATTTTGATGGTTTCAGAACATATTATATGGTAATGGATTAACTTTTCCATTACTTTGTATTCTTTGGGTGTCTATTAACTAGTAAATGGTTTGGGGATTGAAAATTTTCAATTTTTAATCCACAAGCAGATAATTCGGTTGTCAACAATAAATAATAATATACTGCTACCTTTATGTATTAATCAATGCAAAAATGAATTTAATATCAATCTATAACCATGTGAATTAACGAAAACGTATAGAATCCACTCACTAATGGAACAGCTACCTAGAGTTGAGTATGTAGGTGTTTTCTCGCTCAGCTCTTAATTGTGCCCAGGTTCCCAGCACTTACCCATGAACCATATGAGATCAGCAGCATTATGATTATGACACTCACAGAGTCTCTGACACACATGATATGCCTCTGAGATGGAGGTCAATGCCAATGAAAAAATCACCGGAAGGCACACTGGCCTCTGCCAAGTCACAAATGTCCTCCCCTTGGTGATGACTTGACGTGCTAAATCCTCCACAGGCACCTAACACTTCTTCAGTGATGCTTTAAAAGCTGCATTTAATGCATGGAGAGCTTCTCTCCCTTCCTTAACTTACATACTCTGAAAGGTGGAAATCCAGACTTTCGGTGACTCAGCTGAACCTCCGTTAGAACATGGATGATGCTAAATCTATTCAGCTTCTGGCACATGTCCTATACATATCATCTCCCACCTCAAAACAAAGTTCCTGACAAGGCCTCCCACCCTTTTCCTCTTTTAGAGGCCTCATATTAGTTCTGCGCTTCTGTTTTCATCTACAAAAGAGGCAGACCTATGAACCACGGATGTCTGTGGAGCCCCAATTTTCACATATCTCAGTCTCCCATGCAACTCTGACTCATCAATTCTGCTCTTTCTGGCTAATCAACTGCATCCCATCACTGATAGGGCAGTTACTTTTTTAACAGACACATCTGCCCACCAGTCAATTAGTTCCTGGACAGGACAACTCCTACACACATTGTGGAAAATGAAACAATCTCTTTCAGACTGGGAGGCTATCATTAATTCCTGTCCCTTTTCCACAACAACCTGGCCCTAAAGAACAATGCCACTTCCCAAAGTCCTGTTAGTGAGGCCCTGGGGCTCCCACATTCATTTCACAAGGCCAGAACAATGGTGGTTAGCAAGAGGCTCAAGAGGGTGCTCTCACAAAGGCCAACGTTTAGATGCTCACACCAGAAAGAAGCAAACTGGAGAGACCAGGTCTGCATGTTCACTTGCCTCGGTCTGGGGAATAGGATATTGCCACGGTAGATGAAGACAGGCGTTTACTCATGGGAGGCTCCGTCTGCTTTGGCAAATTCACGGTTGATGTTGAAAGTTTGTCACATGCTGTAGAGAAATGCATTAAAAACATTGGTATTTACACCAAGGTAGACCAAGAAACTCATATCCCAAAGTGTCCTTCCTGTCCTCATCCATACACCTCCTAAAACTGCTGTGGCATACTCTGCTTCCATCATCCTGATATTCCATTATCCTTATCTGGAAATGCTCGGGCTACAGCAGCCACTGGTCTGCAGCAAGATCATCTGTACAATTTCTTCACTATGTTCTTCTCTTCAATTTCAAATGTTCAACCTCACTCAAGTGCTCAACTAAAGCCATGCTAATCCCATCAACAAATCATTTTCTTGTGTCCAGGGGTTTTTAAATATATTCACACCATGCAAAAACAAAACCAACCTGGACCCAGAGACAAAGCCACACTGGAAAATGCTCTATGGTTTGGGAGTGTGTGCTGAAACTGAACTTTCCCTGAAGGTTATCTGTAGCTCAGGTTGGAGACAGATGTAATTTGTAATGCAAAGAGCTGTATTTAAAGCAGAAGGACCTTTAGCAGTTGGTTTTCTTCCTCTTATTAAGAGATGGGGGACTGGCCAGTTAGCTCAGTTGGTTAGAGCATGGTGCTGATAACACCAAAGTCCAGGGTTCCATCCCTGTACTGGCCAGCTGCCAAACAAACAAAAAAATAAAAAAGAGATGGAGTCAAATGGCCCCTTTGCTAATGCTTTAACCATTCTTGGTTAGGATTTTAATATGCGACTCTGGGTTTGGTGTTCAAATGTGCCAGTCATTATTGCAGACTTGGTTTCTAAATTATGTATGTATGTAATGGTTTCTAAATTAAACCATTACAGCAAACAAAGAGGTGCTGACAGTGATCTCCCAAACTATGTCGGAGCCAGAGGCAAAAGGAAAAATGTATCCCCCTGACTGTAGGGGAAGCAAACTCATCAATAATATTTTCAAAATCTACTCCTCTGCTCATCTTGTTTTCAAATGAGAGAACTGCCATGTTTGACAATTTCTGCTGACCAAGTCACAATCTTAAATGATTTTTAATTAAGCTGAAGTAAGACTATGATAAATTTGGGGATAAACAAACTATTTAAACGAAATGATGTTGTGAGTTTTAATACTCCTACTTTATAAAATTTCAGTATTTTTTAAACTACTTTAATGCTCTGGGAAAAAATTAATCATTAGAAATTACAGAAAACTATGTATATAGGAGTGCACATTTTTCCTTCTGTCTTAGGCTCCCATATGGCTCAGCATAACACTGGTCTTTAGAAATTAGATATTTTATTATGGATTGTTTTACGTTAATTTTTAAAAACATCTCATTAAAATATTTTATCTTGATTATTGAGATTTTTGGCACCTCCTTAAACTGTATAACCGAGTTAAATACCACACTCACCTCACCCTGGGTTCTGATTTCCAATGGGCAATTACTCCACTCTACCTGCACTTCTCTGTGTGGCAAGGCCAGTGTATAAGTAACTCAGCTTGTGTGGCAAAACCTCTGCTGCAGAGCACCACCAATAAGGATTATTCTTTGTCAAAGGAATGCTGGGAACCAAGGCTATTTATTCCTACTGCTAATATGACTTTCTGCATTGCTGGTAAATAATGAATCCCTTTTACATCTTGTTTTTTCTTTGCCAGCCAAAGATGGGTTGAATTTCTAAAGTCATTAGTAAATGAGAACAAAGTTTTGCTAGTTCTGTTCTTGATCTAGACCACAAGAATTTCCCAGGACTATCTAAAACAGAGAGCCTATTAGACAGAGAGATGAAATCAAGCACAAAGCCAAATTATCTAATGATTTGGATTCCTAGTGTTGGTACTGATAAAGTCTCTACCACTCTCTCTCAAACACCTCTACAGAAATCCATCACGTTAACACCAAGCCCAAGTATTCCATTCAGAACTCTGTGTGATTATAGTTTTGGTAACCAAAAGTGATTAGAATGCCCTACTACTTGATGCCTAAAACAGATATTAATGAGATGGTTAAAGATCTAAGTGTACAAAAATCAAACACTGACAAGATTTCAAGGCAGAAGTTAGTGAGCTGAGGATGAAATGTCTCCAGGGCACTAAAATGTAAGGCATGCACAGCTCCATGATGACACAGGAACAAAGAAATATGAGCATGTTATTCACATCTCTAGAAAAATAGTTATAACGGGTCAGACTAAGCAACCAATTGTAAAAGTGCTTGAGACAGACACGGTGATGGAGGAGGGTGATCAGGACAGTTATCACAAAACGCCATGGCACATGATGCTTGGATATACCGTTGGTGGGCTCGGCAGCGGCGGCAGTGGTCCCTGCATCCGGAGGGAGGGTGCTGGATGCTAAACCTAGAGGAGGGGGTGGGGTATTTTCTGATTCACCTACACAGCAAAAAATCAGAGCAAAGAGAGGTAAAAGAAAAAAGTCCAAATTTATTTTTTTAGTTTCTAATTAGAAAATTAGAAAAAGTAACTGAAATGGGTTACTGATGTCTCAAAAATGAAAAAATAAAGTATATTCCCCGCCAAAAGGTTAAAAGCACAATACAGCAAAGTCAAGAAACCATCCTATAAACTTAAACCATTTGTTCTCAGACAGCTAATGTATAACTCCTGCATTAACAGAATGCTGAGATCACTGAAATGTAGTGAGACACTGACAAGGATGAAAAGCCACCCAGAGACTAATAACAATCCACACATTAAATTAAACTTTTAAAATTTAAAGATGAGTATGTACTGGATAATGAAATAAATGTCACCTTGAAACAAAACTGAAAGAGCAACAAAAATTAATAATGAGACAAGAAAAAGCCTAGCCCTCTTCCAAAGGCAACTGCTGCTCTGCCTTTCCCGGTCATGTCTAGAGCCATGACTGAGCCTCCTGCCATTTTCCTACCCTGGGATCGGACTACCCCAGGCGTGCCAGCTGAGTCTGGCTAACTAGGCTCCGCATTCATTTTCTTTGCTGTTCTGCTGCTCTCCCGCAAAGCCCAGTTATTGTATCAACTGCTATTTGCTAGCAAGAAGAATACACAGATCCCCTTCACAAGAAATGCATACACAGGAAGCCTGGCAGTTTTAAACATTACACCTAAAAACGGTACCGGTAAAGCTGTGCAAAGCATCCCCCAGATCCTGCGGGCACCCAGCCCCATGATCTCCCACCAGGGCCCTGTAATGCGGGCACAGCCCCATACTCACCATCGCGTCCTGTGGGGCCCACAGCCAGCGATGCTCCCCATGAACACTTCTTCTTCATCTCCAGCTGCTGCGTGCGCTCCAGGGACCTGCGCATCATTGCCTCCAGCCGCTCCTGCCCAGTCGTGTAAAGCGGCAGTGTTAAGGGAGAGCAAGATTAACCACCCAGCCCCACTGCACTGCCGCCTCAGTGTGCAGGCTGAGTCACCGAATAGGGTTTTCTGTACTCTGCATCCAAAACCCAGGCACACATGCTCTCTCCACCACACAAGCGCATTCTTAGTGGGTGGAGAGTAAACAATGCAGCTAGGCTAGCACTGGCCCCAAATACGAACACCGCATCCCCTCCCCTCTTGTCCCCCAGGAGCAGCTGCACCAGGCCTTGATTTATTTAAGAATAATGCCCAACAAGCATTAACTCCTTCAGGCCCGTGTCAAGCCCCATTTTGCGCCATATAGTAGGAGAACTGGATTCTTTGCTCCAGAACCAACTGTATCCTTTTTCTAGTTGAAAGCATAAAACATTCTGATTTGAGAAAATTTAAATTAAAATAGAATTTGAGTTTTTGTAGCCTGAAACATAACTGTTTGGGATAATACATGACTTTGAGATCTATTTTGCAAAGCTTCATTTTCATCTCAGAACTTCTTAAAGGGGAATCGATTGTTTTCTATAATATTTCTGCTACAGAATATTCTGGGGATAATACTGCATGTTTCAAAATTTAAAAGAGACAAGAGTACAGAACTTCTGGATTAAAAATAAAGCATGCACCCATTTCCGGAGTTAGGCAGGTTTGAGGATTGGGGGGGGCGGGGGGAGGGAAGGAAGAACTAAACAATTTTTAACCAGAAGAGAAAAACAAGCAGGTTTGTCTCTAAGGAGGATTTATCAAAAGCACTCTCCTATGCGTATTAACCAAATTGTTACTTTCATAAAGTTCTCCTTGGCCCTGAAGTGAAGGTGTTCTGATTCTGCACCCCCACCATCTCAATGACACTGCAAATACCAACTCCCCTCTCTGCCTCCACTGGAGAAGGCCCCGAGTAAGGCAAACAGCAACACCAACACCCTTTATCCCTCATAAAACCCAACCCTGAGGTGCTCCGGGAACTGGGCTGATCCTAGCCTGACTCCAAAGCAAAAAGATATGATTTTCTCATGGCTTTAAAAAAAAAAAAAAACAAGCAAAATTAATGACAGCATCAACTGAGTAACCATGACTTAAGGATGAGGAAAAGGCTCCTTTATTTCACTTACTAGAAACACATAAAGGTCACTTAGGAGGTAGATTTATTCCTTTTGTTTACCCACAGGGATGAGATGCGCATTGGTTCCTCTACATCTCAGCCTCCTCTGCATAATTTTTCTCTGAATAGCACCTTGCTAAGAGACTGCCTCTCCAGGGACCTGTAAGCAGGAGAAATTTTTTTTTCCCTCTTGTCATTCTCAGATTTGTTTTGGCTACAAATTGTGTCTAGTTTTTGGCCTGAGACTATACAATCATGAATCTGCGTTTCCTGGCAGAGTCCTGTCCTCACAACCCTGGCCCATTAAACTCTGATGGGCAACCCTGGTGGTCTGCTCAATAAAAGTTGTGGCTTGGAAGGAAAAGAACTCCACCATTTGATGCCTGAAGTATGGCCACTCGAGACTGGGGCTAAATTGTATGGATTTAACATAAAGTATTTAACCAATGGCCTAATTTAAGTGTTGAAAACTTTCACCCTAGAGTGAATTTAGTATTGGATGGGTTATGGTAGACTTCCTACATGCCAGAAGGACCTCACAAGATAGCCCCTCCTCTTCTTAAGGACTAATGAAAACAAAGAGCCACGGAGACCCACTGAGCAGCTATTCAGGGGCCATAAGTATAAGGGAATGCTGACCTAGAGCCAGACCTACCCCTGGACTGTCCAGTTAGCTTTAGAAAAACTATCTCTGCCATCCACCCTCAATCCCCCGAGCTGCTCCAAATTCCACCAATGGAGATTCATTTCTTTTGACCTTGAGTAGGCATATGAAAATATAGCTATCCTTGAAAGAAAGACACAATCACTTTGTATAACCCACTTTTGGAGAGATGATGAAAAATGGGTGGTAACCAAGCTCTAACAGAAGGGGACTTATGGAACCCAAAGAAGTCAGAATGGGGTGACTCAAATATGTCAAAAACAAAACTTGTCCACTGCACTCTTGTTAGAGGTGAGTCCTATCTAGATTACTATTGCCTAGTGTTCGTACCTTTTTCTGTTCCTTCATGTGATGAAATGGAAAAAAATCCTAGATTTTGAGTCAGGAGATAAGGATTCAAATTCTACCTCTGCCTGCCACTTTTTAGCCCTGTGTTCTTGAGCTAATCATTTGATATCCTTGGACTTCGGTTTCCACAACTATAAAATGGGGATGATATTACCTATATCACCAGATCACTCTAAGTCTATGGGATAATGACTAGCATAGTCTCTATCAAATGGGAATAATATTACCAACATCGCCAGATCACTCTAAGTCTATGGGATAATGACTAGCATAGTCAACGCTAACTGAATTTGAATTTGAAGAGGATTGTTATTAACAGGATAATTTAGACAAGTGGTTCTCAAACTTGAGCATTCATGCACCAGAAGCCCCTGGGAAGGTTTTTTAAAACACAAATTGCTAGGGTTTACCCCCAAGGGTTTCTGAGTCAGTAGGTCTGAAATGGAGCCTGATGAGAATATGCATTTTTAACAAGTTCCCAGGTGCTGCTGGTCTTGATATTACCAACATCACCAGATCACTCTAAGTCTATGGGATAATGACTAGCATAGTCTTTACCCAATGCTAACTGAATTTGAATTTGAAGAGGATTGCTATTAACAGGATAATTTAGACAAGTGGTTCTCAAACTTGAGCATTCATGCACCAGAAGCCCCTGGGAAGGCTTTTTATAACACAAATTGCAAGGGTTTACCCCCAGGGTTTCTGAGTCAGTAGGTCTGAAATGGAGCCTGATGAGAATATGCATTTTTAACAAGTTCCCAGGTGCTGCTGGTCTTGATATTACCAACATCACCAGATCACTCTAAGTCTATGGGATAATGACTAGCATAGTCTTTACCCAATGCTAACTGAATTTGAATTTGAAGAGGATTGCTATTAACAGGATAATTTAGACAAGTGGTTCTCAAACTTGAGCATTCATGCACCAGAAGCCCCTGGGAAGGCTTTTTATAACACAAATTGCAAGGGTTTACCCCCAGGGTTTCTGAGTCAGTAGGTCTGAAATGGAGCCTGATGAGAATATGCATTTTTAACAAGTTCCCAGGTGCTTCTGGTCTTGTGACCACACTATGAGAGCCACTGGTTAGAGGAAAGTCTGAGCATGAGAGAGACAGAGAAAGTTCAATCACATCAGAAAAACAATATTAACAACTATTAGTACTGCATACTGCACTTCCTGCTAAGTTTTCGTTCTCCTGAGTATCTGCTGATAATCAACAGAGGATGGGGAAATGGTAAGGCAAATGCTTGTCCCTAGAATATCCTCTACTGGGTGGGGCTTAGCAGAAGGAAGGAATGAGGGGGGCCTTACTCTTGACCCCTTGAACTCCAGCTCTAGAGCTGCCTGAATAAACCTGGAGAACCATGACCAAGGTGATCCACTAAGCTGGCTGAGTAGTATAAAAGGGCTCCAGCAGGGCATGGCCCAGATAGCAGTCCCTGGCAGGAGTGCAGGGGGAAATGGGGGGTGGTTGTGTCTTTTCCACTGCTCTATGTGTTTTCTGGGGATGACATCGCAGGAACAAGCTCCCAGCGGTCCTCAGCAAGACGCAGCAGGAGGGCCTTTCTCTCCACAAACCGATGTCCACATCTGGCCAGGAAGCACATGGTTGGCATGGTGCCTCACCAGGCCATGCCCTCTGAGAGTGGCCAGCCCTCAGCTGAGTGAAGCTTTTGTTTAGGTGAGTTCAGAAATTTCTTGTTTTATACCCTGCCTGGTAGGTATTATGAGGTATCAAGCAATAAGAGTATGAGAAGTTCCAAATGATAAAGATGGAGCTACTCTTTGAAAGAGGCCTTTCCTGGTCATCTGTTTAGCATGAGGAACATGGAGCTGGCTTCATCAAATCCCATTTTCTAGGGCCACTAGTCAGGAAGCTATACCCCTAAGTGGAGAATGGTGAGCACACTGTGTTGTCAGCCTTACCTCAATTAGGTGACAGGAATTTGTTCCAGTAGTTCAATCCTTCGGAATTGTGTGGCATGTGAGGGTTGTAGGAACCCACCTTAAGGAGAAGGTGGCCTCTGGAGAGAGCATGAGTTCAAGGTCAGGGTCTCAAGTAGATACTGTACTCTATCTACCTGGGATAGGTCTGACCAGCTTCCACTGCTGCCGACTCATGAGACCTCTGGGAGTCAGGCCAATGGTGTTATCCTGTTATCCACTTCTGCCTTGGCACAGACATGGGTGGTTACCAAGAGTGACGTCATGGCATCCATAGGGACACGGAGACAGGCAGGGCTGGGTGGGGATTAGGGGTCAAGAGGCTTCTTATGAGCTCCTGAATACTGGGTCCAGAGAGGTAGGACCTGGTGGGCAACACAAACACTTTCCAACAGGCCAGGAAAGCAAAATAGCCTGCCCAGGATGGACAGGCTTCCTGCAGAGGTTATTCTCTGGTTGACAGAGACAGAGCATGACAAAAAGAACTTAACCCAGCACTGAAAAAGAGAATCAAGAATCTCCCTAGCCAGGTGCTGAGCAGGCAGCAGCCCTCCCAGAGCTCTCCATGAAACATGGGAAGAAGCACAAAGGGTTACCTTTGGAGAGGATCTTCTCCAGTGCAGATGTATCCCTCCTCCCTAAAGATCACCCCCGAGAACACCAAACAGGCCTCTGGACTGGTAGAGTGTTGATGCTAACATAGTTAACAGGCCAGCCTGTGTGGGGCAAGTCCTTAAGCCATACCTGAGTCTCTTGGGGCCCTGAGGGCAGGAGCAGGTGGCAGGGGGAGGCTGCTGCTTCCTTGGGTTGCTACCTGACTGCAGGAGGCTCAGCTCTCAGCCCTGCCCTGCTGAGGGAAGCAAGCTCAGCTTGTGCTGACAAGAGTCAGGCAGCATCCCCTGCCCCCCACCACATTAGGGGTGCACGGAAGCACACAAGCAAATAGAAAATGATCTGGAAGTGAAACCACTAAAGATTCAACTGCATCAGGACCCACCATCTGGCATGACATTCCCTCATCTGCAAGAAGAGGAGAGTCTGACTGCTTAACACGCCTCTAGCACTAATGTTCTATAAAGGAAAATTATAGACAGAAATTGTCTCAAAGACCAGCCTGTGGCTCACTTGGGAGAGTGTGCCGCTGGTAACACCAAGGCCAGGGGTTCGGATCCCTATATAGGGATGGCTGGTTAGCTCAATTGGGAGAGCGTGGGGCTGACAACACCAAGTCAAGGGTTAAGATCCCCTTATCGGTAATCTTTAAAAAAAAAATTTTTTTTTAATTGTCTCAAAAGCAGTTGCTGGTGACAATGAAGGATGTGTCAGTGCATAGGAAGTGTCTAACGTGACTTCACAGTGCCCCTTCCTGGAAAAAGCAGTGACAAGCTTTTTCTTGAATCAGCAATCCTGCAGAATGTCAGGAATCAAAGCAGGGAGACCAAGAAGGAAGGGGACAAGCTCTAAGTCATGAAGGAATATACAATGGGAAGAAAATTGGAGAGTCTAGTGACTCATCACAAATACACAGGTTGGAAAAGAGAAATTTGTCCCGTTACCGAAACAGCCTATCACCCTGTGACTTTTTTTGTAGTCTACAGACTCTGTGCCATAATCTTTTCTGGGTAGCTCCCTCTTGCCCTTGCTCTAGCCAAAGTCGGCTGAAGTAACTGAAGGGAATCTAACATTTCTGTGAGATCACTCTGTGTTAGGTGCTTCACTGGGCACTTTCACAAAAGTCATCTCCTTTAATTACTGTAATCACCTCTATTTTAGGCTGAGCAGACAGAGTCAGAGGTGTTATGTGACTTGTCCCTGGCCACCAGCTGCTTAGTGGTAGAGTGGAAGCAGATGAAGCCACAGCAATCGGATTGCAGCCAGCAATGAACCATGGCTAAGACCCTTGCTTAGACCCTCATTCACTGAGAGCAACAAAGAAATCGTTATAAATGGTTGCTTCTGGGGCAAAGGCAGGTCTAATTGTGTGTGTGTGTGTGTGTGTATGTGTGTGTGTGTGTGTGTTCATGTTTTTCTAAATTAAAAAAAAAAGAAAGGGGTAAATAAATACAGTGATAATCATTCAGAGATTTTTAAAAACCCACAAAATTTATACAAACATCTTTGTATACTATAGTACTGTAGATTAACAAACCTCTATATTGTTACACTAAAAGATGAGCCATTATACCTTATGAATAAGAAATGATCATCACCTGATACAAGGCTATGATTACGTTCCTAAAATATACTTGTTAAGAAAATCTATAATCCAAATATGCTTTCTATTTTCAAAGTTTAGTAATAAAGGACTCTGTGAGGATAATTACATTCCATTTCTTTTTTAAAAGGTAACTGGAAAGAAAGGATGATTAAAGCAAGGAACTACATTAAGATTTAAATACACTAGCATCTTTGTATTTGAAGGCAGACTAATTTTCCAGTGATGAATAACAAGACCATATTATTCTCAACCTTCACAGCTCTTGCTCTGGCCTTGTGTCTGCCCTGGAGACATGGGCTCCCGGTAGTCCAGAACCCTCAGGTCTACATCACCCAGTCCCTATCCACAATCCCCTCTGAGTCTTAATTTAGAGTCAGAAAAGGTTAGGTCTCCGCCTCAGAGACCACCGAATCCAACCCCTTCACTTCAGAGACAAGAAAATCAAGGCCCAGAGAAGCCAACGAGCTTGCCCAAGGTCACACAGCAAATTAACACCTGCGTTAATGGATAAGTCTCTTTGTTTCTGTGCCAGCACTGCTTATGCTGTATTTGTCACACTGCTGAAAGAAGGCATGGTGAGCCACTGGGGAGAAGGTATGGGAGAAGGTGCAGGAGAAGGCTGCTCTCATTCCCCAGAGCTGGACAAATGCCCAGACGACCTGAGCACTAAGCCCTGTGGAGAGGGTGGGGGTAGGGGTGGGGAGCTCCCAGGACTCACCTCCTCCTCCCGGAGCTTCTGCTTCCTCTTCTCTTCCACCGCAGCCCTCTTCTGGTCCTCCCGCTGCCGCTGCTCTTCCAGTTTTCGCCATCGCTCCTCAATTTGCTTTTCATACTGGAGCTTGGCTCTTTTTTCTTTCTCCAGGATCTGCTGCTCCCGGGCAGCTGGGGAAGGAAAGTAGAAGAGGTGTCATTACCAGAGCACCCCATGCTGTTTGGATTAAGACCCAAAACACGGAAGCAAGAGTAGAGACCAAAAAAAAGAGCCTGGTGGGATCCTAGGATGCAGTGATTGAGATAAAGAGTTCTGGCATCTCTGCCACTAGCTGGGTGACCCTGGGCATATTAACCAGAGCATCTCTCTGCCTTGATTTCCTCCTCTGTGAAGTGAGGACAGTCATGTTTGCTACATAACAATGCTGTGAAGCTCAAACGAGACAATGCACGAGACAATTACACTTGAGGACAGTCATGTTTGCTACATAACAATGCTGTGAAGCTCAAACGAGACAATGCACGAGACAATTACACTTGAGGACAGTCATGTTTGCTACATAACAATGCTGTGAAGCTCAAACGAGACAATGCACGAGACAATTACACTTGAGGACAGTCATGTTTGCTACATAACAATGCTGTGAAGCTCAAACGAGACAATGCACGAGACAATTACACTTCCCCACGTGTGGGAGCTATGACTATTATTGCTATCATTAAGTCAAACTTGTGCACAATGGCTAAGCCATATGCTGGGTTAAGAAATAACAGTTGTAAGGGTACATTCATTCAAAAACATGTTAACTGTGCATGCACTATGCACCAGACGCTAAGCTGGGCAAGTGGGTAAAACGCATGAACAAGACTGGCCTTCCCCTCAAGACATTTACTAAGGGGCCCTTAACTCCACCTGGCTAAGTCAGGGAAGGGCAGTGCCTGAACCAACCTGCAGGAGGCAGTCAAGGAGAAGAACCTGAAACTCCTCATTTGTCTCATTTCCATGGGAGCAACCACTATCTACCTCACAGTACCCAGTGGAGAGCTCTCTGTACTTAACTGTCTATAGCTTGTAGCTTGCAAGAGGTAAGTCTGCATTTCTTAACTGGCATTCCCTGCCCTAACACAGAAAATGATGTAAATGTCAATCTTCTGAGTTCTCCCGAGGATGGCCTTTCTAGATGGCCAGGAGAGAATCTGAGTGACTACACACAGTGGACACCTGAGTGGACTTCCCCAGGTCAGAGGCAGCGGCTGTTTCTCTCTCTTCACCATCATATCTGCAGCCCCTAGCACAGTGCCTAGAGTACAATGTTTGCTAAGTGAGTGAATGAACAGTTCTGAGAATTATATAATATCTGTGAACATGCCAGTCACCGTGTAGATGAACCCCAATTCCTCATGTTCATCTAGCAATTGTCCTCATTCCCTGCCCATTCATTCACAAATTTCTAAGGATCTTCAGAAAAGACCCTGCCATATCTCCACACCCTTGGACCCAAACAGCCGAAGTGTACAACTTACCCAGACACTTTTCTCTTTCTTCTCGTCTTTCTTTGGCCAGTCTTTGTCTCTCATCTGATTTTAAAAATCCATCCATGCCTATAAGACAGAAAACACAGTAACTACCAGTCCTTTGCTTTTTCCCTATCTGCTGAGTGCTAAAGGAAGCTGGGTAGAGCCCCTGCTCTGGCCGCACACACATATCACCCAGCACCATTGTTTCATCCGATGGACGCCCCATCCATCACTCCCCATGACACATCTGCAGCCAGGCCCCGACAGCCGAGGGGCAGCAGCCACGCTTCCACAAGTGCCTGCCTATACCAGCCTGGAGGACCCAGAAAGTGTAGTAAGTGACAGAGAGGCCACAAGGCCTCCCCCAGCCCGGCTCCCAGGCCTGAGGCAGGATCACCTGGGGGAGAGAGGGAGGATTTTGGATATCAATTATTACACAGATGCTGAACATTTTACTTTCTGAAAGGAGCCAACTGCTGAAGGACACATATGAGTTCCTCGGGTGAGCACCCTGAAATACAGAGCTCAGGTTCAATTTCAGTTTTGCTAAGTTTGCGCCAGTGTTGATTTTAGTATCTTAGAATCATAAAGAAAGAAATACAGTGTACATCTGTTTGTCATTCAAGTATCCACAACAAATAAGAAGGAACAAATGGCAGCTCCCCCATAAATGTCAGGGAAACATCCCTGGAGCTCTGCATCTCCATCCAACCCCTGCAGGACCCTATAGGGCTTTCTAGATCAAAGATTAAAATGGATCTTCAAGGTCCTTTTAGGATTAGAAGTAATTTACTGCACTGTTACACTTCGTGGTTCATGAGTATTATCTACATAATGTTTAAGCACACCATTCTGCAGACATTGGCTTTACGATTAATATGACCCCATTCACTTTCCAAGCACCTGGGCCTTCCTCCATGGGAACATCCATGCTGACTTTATAGTGTGCCTTGCTGCCACAGCAACCTGTGCTGGTTCTTGCTGCTGTTCAGGAGAGGGGTCTGCAGGCCTGACCTGCAGTGTAGGCAGTGAGAATGTGTAAGGTGGATGACATAACAAACACTGGATTGTCATGATTCCCCAGAAGCATCTGGTTTTGCAGCCTGGATTACATATCAGTGATATTAAAGCTCAAACAGACAAGTACAGTCATGCATCACTTAACGACAGGGATACAGTCTGAGAAATGTGTCAGGCAATTTTGTAAAATTATGTAAATGGAAAGATTAGTGGCTGCTAGGGGTTAAGGTTGGCTGGGGTGGGAGAAGGGGTGAATGTGGTTATATAAGGGCAACATGAGGGATCCCAGTGGGGAGGAACTACTCTGTATCTTGACCGTGAGACGGCAGATACACAAACCTACACATGTAATAAAATTACATAGACCTAAACATGTGGGCACTTCAAAAAGTTTATGAAGAGATTTGTATTATTTAATTCTATTTTTCCACAAATTCTTTGAAGTACTCTCATATAGTCATGCGTTGCTTAGTGATGGAGATACGTTCTGAGAAATGCATTGTTAGGCGATTGTGTCATCATGTGAACATCATAGCATGTACTTGATACACACCTAGATGGTACAGCCTGCTACACACCTAGGCTACGAAGTACAGCCTATGCCTCCTAGGCTACAAACCCATACTGAACACTGCAGGCAACTGTAACATGATGATAAGTATTTGTATATCTAAACATAGAAAAGGTACAGTGAAAATGCAATACAAAAGATGAAAAATGGTACACCTGTATAGGGCACTTACCATGAATGGAGTTTGCAGGACTGGTAGTTGCTCTGGGTGAGTCTGTTAATGAGTGGTGAGTGAATGTGAAGGCCTAGGACATTACTGTGCACTACTGCAGACTTTATAGACACTGTACACTTAGGCTACACAAAATGTATATATATAAAAAGAAGTAATTGTGCTATGACGTTATGAGGGCTACAACATCACTAGGTGATAAGAATTTTTCAGCTTTATTATCCACCCTCATTGACTGAACTGTCATTATGCAGCACATGACTATACTAGAAAATCAACCCTGGATTATAAGTGCCATTCTCCATGTTTATTTTTGGTCAACCCTTGATCAGTATGATGCTACCAACAATATAAATGCCATCAAGAATTTACAGGCCCACCTCCTCAGCTCATTCCATGTCCTGCACAATCTGACTCCAAACTCTCTTCCCAACTTGACCTGAGCACTGCCTTTTCTCCCATGCACCTCCTGGCCATACTGCTGCCTCTCTACCCCCTGCTTAATGCCCTCCCCCTCAAGACCTCACAGTCCCGAAGACCAGTGATCCTCTATGCTCCTACATGGTCCTCGGAACACTTATTTCATTCCACTTTCCCACAGAGCCCTCTCTGTAACTCGCTCTCCCTGGTGAGTTCCAGAGCCATGTGTGGCTGATGCATTTCTGGGTATCTGCAGCTTTGGCCACTGCCCCTCACACGGTGACCTCGGGGTGCACACACGATGCTCAAAGGCAGGCATGAAGGTAGTGGGAGGGGAGCACAGAGATAAAGTTAGGCTTCTCTTTTCTCTAAACACTTTCAGGTTGTAGTCTCTACCTCAAGAGTTTGACTAATAAGAATCAGTTCTGTGTGAAAAGCTACAAAGAAAAGCCAACCCAAGCAGGACCTGAACTTGCCCTGAACTGCCCATGCCACCCTCGAGATGTTAATGGTCCTGCCCCTTATCTAAGGTAAGCCTGAGAACTCCTGAAAGTGTTCTTCAAGCAGAGGAAAGAAAGAAAAACTGAGAAGAATAAGGGCCACACTCCCCCACTGGACCCGGAAGGAAGCACCAGCACCTACGGCAAGTGCTGCTGAGATAAGCTGAGGAGACACATGCAGCGCTGGGGGCTCATTCTATGGCCATAGATTCTGGAACAGGAACCAAGGTGGTGTAATATAGCCACTACCACATCTACTGTCACGCAAGGACAATTCACCACCACAGTAACAGCCAGGGCCACTCCATAGGTAGCCTACTGCTCACTCAACTACACTGATATAAGAAGTCACCAGTAAAATGAGCAAATAGAAGAAGAAATCTTTATCCTCACAGCCAACCTCAGTGTAATAAAAGAAGCAAACCCTCTACCAAATGACCAAACATCAATGAAAAAGTACCAGAACTACAAATAAACAAGAAGATATGACACCACCGAAAGAATACAGTAATGCTCAAATCTCAGACTCCATGGAACAGGGAATCCTTAAAATGTCTGAAAAAGAATTCCCAACAATGATCATAAGAAAACTCAAAGAAATAAAAGAAGACTCAATTAGAAAACACAATGAAACAAGAAAAAAAAATCCAGACTATGAAAGAGGAAATGTACAAAGAGATTAAAACCTTAAAAGGGTGTAGCAGAAGTCCTGGAAATTAAAGATTCCCTCAATGAAATGAAAAACACTACAGAGAGCTTGAGCAGCAGGCTAGAGCAAGCAGAAGAAAGAATTTCAGATCTTGAAGACTGTCTTTTCGAAATAACCCAGGCAGCCAAAAAAAAAAAAAAAAAATGAAAAAAGAATTAAAACTAATGAGGAAAACCTAAGAGAGAAAACAGACAATCTCAAGTGCTCTAACATCCGAATTGTGGGTATTCCAGAAGGGGAAGAGAAAGAAAAAGGTATTGAAAACCTATTCAAGGAAATAGTAACAGAAAACTTCCCAGGGGTAGGGAAAGATACAGACCTTCAGATCCAGGAAGCTCAAAGGTCCCCAGATTCAATCCAAAAAAATCTTCCCCAAGACACATCATAGTTAAATTTGCAAAGCTCAAAGACAAAGAGAGAATTCTAAAAGCAGCAAGAGAAAAGTGTTAAGCCACCTACAGGGGAGCCCCCATCAGACTAACAGCAGACTTCTCAACCAAAACTCTACAAGCCAGAAGAAACTGGAATGATATATTCAAAATGCTAAAAGAAAAATATTGCCAGCCAAGAATTCTTTACCCAGCAAGGTTCTTCTTCAGAAATGAGGGAGAATTAGTGTATTTCCCAGACCAACAAAAGTTGTGGGAGTTCACCACCACACGACCAGCCCTGCAAGAAATTCTCAAGGAAGTCCTTCATCTGGAATCTGAATAATGACAACCACTATCACAAATACACAAGAAAGAGCAAAACCCACCATTAAAACAAAAATGCCAGTGAGAAAGAGAAAGAAGCTAAATCATGCCACCTGAAATTTCCAACTAACATTGAAGAAGAGAAATAAAAGGGGAAGTAAGGATCAAAAGATACTTAAATCATCTAAACAAAACACAATTAAATGACAGGAATTAAACAATACCTGTCAATAACTACCCTAAATGTGAATGGATTAAACTCCCCATCCAAAAGATACAGACTGACTGACTGGATTAAAAAGCTAGACCCAAGTACATGCAGTCTTTCAAGAGATCCACCTTACCTGTAGAGATGCATACAGACTAAAAGTGAAGGGACGGAAAAAGATATACCATGCAAATGGAAAACAAATACGAGCAGGAGTAGCTATTCTTATATCGGATAAAATAGACTTTAAATGAAAAACATAAAAAGAGACAAAGAAGTCCACTACATAATGATAAAATGATCTATCCAGCTGGAAGACATAACAATCATAAATATATATGCACCCAATACTGGAGCACCCAGATATATAAAACAAACATTCTTAGACCTAAAGAAAGAAATAGGCCCTAATATGTTAATAGTGGGTGATCTGAACACCCCTCTCTCAGCATGGGACAGATCTTCCAGGCAACAGATCAACAAAGAGACACAGGATTTAATCTACACCTTAGACCAACTGGACCTGGCAGATATATACAGAACATTTCACCTAACAAACAAAGAATATACTTTCTTCTCATCAGCTCATGGAACATTCTCCAGGATAGACCACATATTAGGTCACAAATCTAGTCAGTAAATTTTTAACAACTGAAATCATTCCAAGTATCTTTTCAGACCACGATGGACTAAAACTGAAAATTAATAATAAGCAAAACTCTGGAAACTATACAAATACATGGAAACTACACAATAGGCTCCTGAATGACCTATAGGTCCAAGAAGA